TCTTCGGACCATTGTCTGATCCGGAGTATGGTGCCACTCACGCTCCCCTTGCGGTTGCGTTTTGCTGGTTGCCGCCGTGTTTGGCATTACAGGTCGGCGGATTGGGACGGAATGCGGTCTTTCTTTGCTTCCTACCCATGGGGGCGCGTTTGCTTCTCGCCGGATAATCCCAGCGCTGTTGTTGACTCTATCACTGATGTGGTGCTACAGAGAATGGAACTATTTATTCCATCATCTGTGGTACCCATCGGAGGCAGATCTCAGCCTTGGTTTGGTCGCTCCTGTAAGACTGCATTACGCAGTAAGCAGGAGTGTTATCAAGCCTGGGCTGCGGCTTCGGTGACTCGGGATGTAAACACCAGCACACTTAAAAAGAAGTATAACTTCGCCTCCAGGTCCTTCAAAAGAGTTATTGCCAAGGCAAAGTCAGAGCACAAGGCAGAATTGGCGAGAAACTAGTTCGCCTTCCTTCCGGAACCCGTGCATTCTGGTCTCTCGCCAAGGCTGTCCAAGGGAATTTCTGTAAGCCATCACTACCATCTCTGCACAGGGAGGACGACTCACTGGCCCAAGACGTATAAAAACAAAGCTGACCTTTTAGGCTCCCTTTTTGCGTCCAACTCGACTCTTGATGACGGGGGGAAAACATCGCCGACCATCCCGCGGTGTGAGTGCTCCATGCCGGATATGCTGTTCTCACAGCGCTCGGTTCGCAAAGCACTTCTCTCCCTGGACATCCAGAAGTCGGGTGGGCCTGACGGAATCCCCCCAATTGTGCTGAGGACGTGTGCTCCGGAGTTGGCTACGGTCCTAACGCGTCTTTTCCGGTACTCCTACTCCCAAGGCGTAGTCCCGAACTCATGGAAGACAGCTTTTGTCCACCCGATCCCTAAAAAAGGCGACCGCTCAGACCCGTCCAACTACAGGCCTATCGCGATCACCTCCTTGTTCTCCAAAATAATGGAATCCATTATTAACCGCCAGCTCATCCGGTACCTTGAGGATCACCAGCTGATTAGTGACCGCCAATACGTTTTTCGTCGGGGTCGGTCAGCTGGTGATCTTCTGGTCGACCTGACCCATAGATGGGCGGAGGCAGTAGAGTCCAAGGGGGAGGCGTTGGCCGTTAGTCTGAACATTGCGAAGGCCTTCGATCGGGTTTGGCACAGAGCGCTTCTTTCGAAGCTCCCTTCCTATGGGCTTCCCGAGAAATTGTGCAATTGGATCACCAGCTTCCTTGCAGATCGGACCATCAAGGTCGTTGTAGACGGTGCATGTTCTGACTACAAGCCTATTAACGCTGGTGTTCCACAAGGCTGTGTGCTATCACCAACGCTGTTTCTTCTGCATATAAATAATATGTTGCTAACTAGTAACATTCATTGCTATGCGGATGACAGCACTGCTGATGCTCTATACACCGGCCGTGCCAATATTTCTCGGGAAAACGTCGCCGAGTACAGGAACAAACTTGTGTCTGAAGTCGAATCTTTGCTGAACAAAGTCTCGGATTGGGGGAGACTAAATCTAGTCCAGTTTAATCCTCAGAAGACACAAGTTTGCGCAATAACCGCTTAAAAGAACCCCTTTGTCGTATCTCCTCAGTTTCAAGACACTCCCCTTCTTGCCTCAGCCAGTATCGGTATCCTCGGAGTCGACATATCGAGTGACGTGCAGTTTCGTGGTCACTTGGAAGACAAGGCCAAATTGGCCTCTAGAAATCTTGGCGTGCTCAGCAGAGCGGGACAGTATTTCATGCCGGCACACCGCCTGCAACTTTACAAGGCGCAAGTTCGGCCTCACATGGAATACTGTTCCCATCTCTGGGCAGGGGCTCCCCAGTGCCAGCTCCTTCCACTTGACCGTATCGAGCGCAGAGCGGCTCGAATCGTCGACGACCGAGTCCTTTCCGATCGGCTCGATTCATTGGCACTGCGAAGAGATGTTGCATCCCTTTGCATTTTCTTTCGCAACTACCATGGGGAGTGCTCTGAGGAATTGTTCGGATTGATCCCAGCCGCCAAATTTCACGAACGCACATCGCGGCAGAACTCCCGATACCATCCACACCATCTGGATGATTGGCGGTCCAGCACTGTGCGATTTAGAAGATGTTTTCTTCCTCGCACGACTTCCTTGTGGAATCGATTACCATCAGTGATTTTTCCGGACCGATACGACTTACGGACCTTCAAGAAAAGAGCGTACTCCTTTTTAAAAGGCCGGCAACGCATCTGCAATTCACTCCCTGGTGTTGCAGTTGTTCATGGGCGGCGGTAGTCACTTATCATCAGGTGAGCCGCATGCTCGTTTGCCCCCTCTCCTATAAAAAAAAATTCAGAGGATGCTTTGGGTATATTTTGTGACCTTTCCAAGGCCTTCGACTGCGTTCACCATGAAACATTAATCAGGAAGAAGAACACAGCGCTTAAACTTCTTATTTCATATTTAAGTAATAGAATGTAGAAAGTTATTATCAATGGTAAAAGTTCTTCCGGCTCACCTGTACTAATGGGTGTCCCTCAAGGCTCGATTCTCGGCCCATTCCTATTTCTAGTGTATATTAATGACTTACCTTCTCTTGTAGAGGATAATCATGATATAGTATTATTTGTTGATGATACTTCCTTGATTTTTAAACTTAAACGTCAATCATTTAAATGTGATGAAGTGAATAATGCTATATCAAAATTAGTGCATTGGTTTAACGTTAATAATCTACATTTAAACGGAAATAAAACTAAATGTATTAAATTTACAACAACGAATGTTAAAAGTCTGAGTACCAATGTGTTTTTAAATGGGGAAGATCTGAGCCCTGTTGAATCCACTGTTTTTCTTGGCATCATTCTCGACGCAAAGCTCCAGTGGGGCCCCCATATATCCAAACTATCAAGCAGACTAAGTTCTGCAGCCTATGCTGTAAAAAAGATTAGAGGTCTCACTAGTGTCGAGACAGCTAGATTAGTTTATTTCAGTTATTTCCATAGCATAATGTCGTATGGGATTTTGCTATGGGGAAATGCGGCTGATTCAGAAACTATTTTTGTTTCACAGAAGAGGGCCATTAGAGCTATTTACAACCTAAAACCGAGAGAGTCTCTTAGAGATAAATTTAAAGAAATCTCTCTCTCTATTAGCAAGTTTAAATGTTTTGTTAAGTTGAAACTGTATAAAAAGGGTTATTATAGTATAAATGAATACATGGTTGATAATAACCCCTGGGAATGAGGTGTCGCTTCCAAGCTGTTTCTAAAATAAATTTTGTACTTATATAGTTTTTACAACCATTATTGTAATTAATTGTTTCTTGCTGGTTCTTCCCAGGACAGGGTTTTGTTTTTTCGAACCAGTGGTAAAGTAAAAAATGACTTTCAATAAGAATTACACATGCGATCTATATTGAATAAAAAATTATTCTATTCTATTCTATTCTATATATTAATCAAATATAGCAGCTATATTAATAGTATAGTTGTAGCACGAATGAGTCGGTTCGACCGGGGAAGGACAACGCTCTCACAGAATACCAGCGTAAAATAGCAGCTTAATGCTGCTGTGTTTCGTATGGTGAGTGTAGAGAACCGGAGACCCATTTTACTGGAAAAGAGGCGTTCCGTCTTAGTCCTCACGGGTGACAACGCATCTGCATTTTAATTCGTAAACGAAGATAGATCTAGATGTATATGGGCCGCAGCAACCACTTACCATCAGGTTGACTGTGTGCTCGTTTGTCACCCTTATTCTATAAAAAAAAGAACTAAGATGAAATGCCTCGTTTGCAGTAAAAAAAAGCATCCGGTTCTGTAAAATCTCATACGAAGCAGAATTAAGGTGCAATTTTACGCTTGTATTCTGTCAGAGCGTGGTCCTCCCCCGGTCAAGCTGACCCTTTCGTCCCACAGTGGTTGTAGCTGCATTATGGCTCTACTACGAGTAATTACATTTGCTTGATGACGTCCATCTGTTTATTGCAGCTATTCCAATCATCACTGAATCGGAGGCATAAACTTTTGGATCAGTTGCGGCTATTTACATATCAAGATATGTTTAGGGTTGTGCAACGCAGTGACGTATGCATACGTCACTGCGTTGCAGTAGCATACGTCACTGCGTTGCAGTAGCATACGTCACTGCGTTGCACAACCCAAAGCGGCTAGAACTGAAAATCACCGCCCTGACGCAAGGTAAGTGGTTGCTATAACCCAAAGACGTAGATGCGTTGTCATCCCTGAGGACTAAGATGGAATGCCTCGTTTCCAACAATCCGGTTCTATACACTCATCATACGAAACACAGCAGAATTAAATTATTTTACGCTGGTATTCTATGAGAGCGTGGTCCTTCACCAGTCCAATTGACCCATTCCTGTCACAACAATAATATAGATTCAGCATGGCTCTAGCACATATAAAAACGTGGAGTGTGTTAAAAATATATAAAGTCAAGTCTTCTATGTACTATCTATACTTTTTTTAAAAGAATGATACTCGTAGAAAATGTCTTCGACGTAAAAAATTAGAATATCATTCGTCAAATGAATATTTATTTAATTATTATTTAAAAACACCATAATAAGAATACGTGGTAGAGCCATGCTGCAGCTATATTAGTAGTATAGTTGTAGCACGAATGGGTCGGCTCGACCGGGGAAGGACCACGCTCTCACAGAATACCAGCGTAAAATAGCAGCTTAATGCTGCTGTTTCGTATGGTGAGTGTAGAGAACCGGAGACGCTTTTTACTGGAAAAGAGGCGTTCCATCTTAGTCCTCACGGGTGACAACGCATCTGCATTTTGACTCGCAAATGAGGATAAATGTAGATGTCTATGGGCCACAGCAACCACTTACCATCAGGTGGACTGTGTGTTCGTTTGTCACCCTATCCTATAAAAAAAATATGTTAGCGACAACCCTATTTAATTTTCACGTGTACGATATAGTACGCTTACTAAATGGAGCGCAGATACGTCGTACGCGAGTTAGTGAGTAGTCGGTCATGTGTAGGTACATATATACTATTTTCTGTTTAGTGACCCTGGTGTATAGTGAACAAAATGGTTTGTACTATGTTTTAGTTATTCAATAATTTTTTTTTTTAGTATTTTCTACTTTTTTGTTCTTTGTGGTGTTTGCACAGCTAAATATTCGAGATTTTTGCTATGAGACATATACTTCTTAGCAATAAAAAAGGGCCAGTCCCGAAAATCACTAAAATAATAAAATAAAATACTTTTGTAAGTAAAAAATATACTACCAGTATATGATTTTCTAGCTATGCTTGCGAAGCGGATTGGTAGTTGTGGTCCCTGGTCTGCTTAGTAACATCTGTCATATACGAGACGACATGCCGTCACTAATCGGATGCCTCGAAATCCTTCTGGTCTATAAAATAGACGCTACTTAGAAAAGGGGTGATGAATTGCCACCGCCACAATGCCGCTATGTTTATTTTTCTAGAGATATATAAAATAACCCACCCTCTTAGAAATTAGAGGCCTGTGCCCGGCTGTGGGACGTATATAGACTTTAAAATTATATTTTATTTATAAAAAAATGCTTGAACTTTACTGGAAACGATGTGTTTTTCGTCTTAAAATCCTTACATACACACATCATGATCTGAAGTATGCGTTGATAATAATGATATGTTATACAATAATGGATTTATATGGACTGTAATGAATGGATTTTCCTAGTCCTTGCCTACCCCTCTGGGCTACAGCCGTGAGAGTTTATTTTTATGTTGACCGACCCCTTTTCATGGCTTACAAGTGTATTAATTTGTATGGGTTTAAATAAAATGTATTTCGTTATACAAGATTCATTATATTTGACAGCATAATATTAGTGTTACCTTTATTTTTGCAATATAACATCGTTAACTTTGTGTAATGTATCGAAGTACTTCATGTTACATTACATTTAATTTTCTATGGTTTTATTATCACAGAGAGTCTAAATTAAAAATTTGCAGTGGTGCGTGAACGTATTTGAATTTCATGCTATAGAAATGTAATTTAATAGTTATGCTTCCTATTAAAAATTCAAAATAATATTCTTATAATTTTAATATTAAAAGATGTTTTTTATAATAACTACTTTAGTAATTAATAAATAAACATTTTGTGTGTGTGTGTGTGTGTGTGTGTGTGTGTGTGTGTGTGTGTGTGTGTGTGTTGTCGTGTCTTTGTGTGGTGTTGTCTTTTCCTAACAGTGTAGACTGTAGTGGCAGTTAGAATATCCAGTACCCCATAATTATGGTCCCGTGGGTGTCGTAAGAGGAGATTGAGAGAAACTAAAACAAGTGACGATCAGCAGCATTTTCCGGATAACAACTCAAAATTATTAGAAACTGCAGTTAACAACTGCCTGCCGAGAGCTACTATGGCAAAACCTGCTATGATGCAATCTGTGCAGGAGGCCCTATTTCCAGCTGTGGACTTCTATAGGGTGTAATGTAATGGATGGACTTTCTTACGTCGCCATTACACTAAAAACTAAAGACAAATATTTACTTCTAAATACGTATTTTTCTAAGTCAGTAGGTTTAAAATAAACATTGAAATTTCTAGTTTCAGTCTATAAAGGTATTCTCACACCGGACTGCACGCGAGCTTACTACCGCATATTCGTCACACGGAGAGTTCCACCACGAAATTACTATTATTTTCACGAGTACATTGGTTTGGATCAAATAGTTCCGAATAGTAACCAAGGAAAAATGGCGACTGCGGAGGTAGATGTGAGTAAAGATCAAAATATCGTTTGTAAAGAATTTATCTTTACCTCTATATTCGTCGTGCTAAATCTCTTCATACTTTCCAGTCTTGTTAAATCGTATTAATAAGAACGCTATTAGATATATTTTAATATAATATTCAATATTTTATTATATACAATATTAAGAACTTTAATTAAAAAAAAACCAAAACTGCTAACTTAATTATCATACAGTCATATTCTCCGCTGTATCATGCCAAGAACGCTGGCTGCGTTTCCCCGCTGAATGGCTATACTTAGCCTTTGAGCTACAAAAGAACCAGCTCTGTTATCACCACCAGCAACGAACAGTCGCGGATAAAGTTACTTTAGGAACTTGACCGCACTTGGGCCCCACGGACCGATAGGCACAAATATGTAGTCGTCTCTCAGAGACTCATATTTACGCCACTCACTCAGTTCAGCTGCCTTAGATGCCGCCCCGGCTGTAAAAAAGGTACCCCTGAGATGAGAGGCTACCAAAGTATCTACGCAAGTAGCATTCTAGACTAGGGCATTACTTCTCTCCCAAGGGACCAATATCATACCGTCGGGTCTCTTGCCATTGTCTCTAAATATTCCACAAGGCTCTAAATCCTATATAATACTTTACATTTTTCGTGCTTTTTTCATTTAAGCACTTTATCATCTCTACATATAAATCAATTGCTGTCCGTTAGTACCGCTTAAACTCGAAAATGGCTGGACCGATTTTGAAGATTAGATGAACTAAACGATTCACAATTGGACCAGGTAGGCGGCGCTGTTGGCGAGATCCAGAAATCACCGTGTGAAGTCGGGGCGGATCGCTAGTATTATGTATAAATTGGACTAAATTTGATTGGGTCTATATCGCACGCCTCATAACGCGAAGCGTAATTGAGTAGTGCTTTACTCCCGACACGTCAAGGTCAAGCAATTGATAAGATAATATGAGTCGCCGTATATCAAGAAAATACTCCAATTAATCCATCTTATATTTTCCAAAAATCATTTTATGTTGCTGTTTAAAAAACACGGTTTGAAAAAAAATTACATGGACGTCCGGATGTTGATGTTGTAGGTGATCACGGTAACTGCCGATAACCAAAAAATAGATCTACCAAGTCCGGTTTTTTTATTACTCGTAGCTTCAAAATTACATCAACTGGTTCCCTATTTCATATCAATAACCTAGTACACGAAGTTTGTTTATACAATGATTTTCAACTTTTATAAGTTTTATTGCTATTAAAATTTCATATCTTTTAGCCTTTGATATACTAAGGACAAATGTACCATACAACCTTTATACTTTGTGTAATCGATTTGTTTTTGTAAACATTAGGTATTAATTTTTCCCTGCAGGTGACTCTACCTGTTAAATTAATAGAGCGCTAAATTTAAAACACGAAAATAATATATTTAAAAAATCAGGAATACAATTTATTGTTTTCACCAAAATTAAAAGATACGCTCATGAGACGTTCACTTTTGGATTTTGCAAACTATTTATATTTATGTTATTTGCATCAGTCACTTTCAGAGACCGCCTGACGTCCAGCAGCGGTGCGTGTATTTCTGTTTTCCAGTCTGAAGGTTAAAGAAAGCGTTCAGACCTAGCTTAATCAACTTAACTGAGTCTCTCCTAGGGAGACTTAGGACTTCTTCGAAGAGGCACTTATACTCTTTCCTATTTCTACCATCAAGCAGCACTGCGGATACTGCTGTGTTCCCGTCTGAAGGGCAAAGAGAGTCATTATAATTATAGGCTGTGGCATTCCATCTTTGTCTACAGGGGTGACGACGCATATGTGTCCTTGCTCGTGTAGAGTTGGTTACAGGTGTCATTGGTTAGTGGTAGCCACTGCAACTGCTGCAACCCATTGAACATCTGCAACCAATGGCTACTGTTATTCAAGGACGCCTTGTAATTCTAACCACCCAGAACATCGAACGACAAAATATTACTCATTTGTACACTGACTTGCGTATAGGTGAACAACGTAATGTAAAATTAACGTTCGGACGTAATCGGCAATCTCATTTTCATCACCATTATCATCATCATTGTCATCATCATACTTATTATTATTATCATCACAATCACCATCAGTCTTCCATTTCATATAGCTCGTGGCTGTTATAGCTAACTGGCTAACAGCACTAACATCACAGAAAACAGAGAACTTGCAACCAACTAGTCAAAAATAGGTAGGAGGTTGGGTACCTACTCAGACAACCTTTAAGGCAGAAAGGAGTTCTTTTTTTTTATTGTAACAAAATCTACAGCTTCTACATTTACCAATATATAAACGAGAGAACATTTTATGTTACATAGAAGCCTTTATAGATTTATATTTATTTTGCAAAAAAATATTTTTTTTGTCTTCAGTAATGTTAACAAATAGTTTACAGCGTATGTGTGTGTGTGTCAAATTAATTCAAATTATTATTCAACGCCATCTCAATCAATTCTGCCTATAATATGCAATAGTTTATTCAACAACGAGACATTTTTTTAATAATCGTTGATTATTTGCAGCTAAACTTTAGAATTGTTGGAGGGAACATAGTTTCCATTGAGGATGTACCCTACCAGGTACTATACGGACGATACTGTGGCGGCAGCCTGATAGCACCCCAATGGGTGATAACTGCCGCACATTGCAAGTAAGTACATACAAAAATATTTTGTTACGTGCAAGTTTTTTTTTCATTTTTTCATCATTTCATTCCATCTTAGTCGTCAGGGGTGACAACGAATCTGCATTTTGATTATTAATCGAGGATAGATGTAAATGTCTATAGGCAACAGCATCCACTTGCCATCAGTTGGAATGTGTGCTTTGCCACCCTTATTCTGTAAAAAAAAGTGTGAGTAAAAATGTCTGCATGCGTGGCAGGCAGCTAATATATTAAGGAATACCAGCGTGACATAGCAGCTTAATGCTGCTGTGTTTTGTATGGTGAGTGTAAACTAATCATATTCGAAAACGAAAGGTGACAGGTGACAACTGTCTTTATTTGAAATATTTTATGTAAAATAACTATTTGTTATAAATATATCATATAAATATATCATATAAATATAATTTATATATAATTTCTATTAAACCAAAATTTTGCGGCAGTTTTTGTGATTGATTTTCAAAGGGCAAGTATTCGCATGACGTGATTTCTTACACTTTCTTCAGTGCATTGTTAAGCAAGATAATTAAACTTATAACAATTTTACATTTAGTGATTAATTTTTTGAGCGCAAACAGTAATAGTGCGACAAGTTGTAGTAATGTGAGGTAGTGCTAAAACGATCGCAATCAGTCTACCGCCTCATACCACTTGTACACTGTCAACTCAACATTATACAGCTTGTATTTCGCCACTTTTGTTAACGACAAATTGGCGTATTGCGTCGAGCGCTTGGTCTACGAGCCGCAGGACCCGAGGGTCCTGCGGCTCGTAGACCAAGCGCTCGATTGTCTTTTAACCATCGTTGGATTTGATCTCGTCAAATCCAACGGATGGAAAGAAAAAATATTTTTTTCTACAAAATTTTAAATTTAAATTGAAATTTAGGATCAAGCAAAATAATTACTAGTTAGTCATGTCTTCCAAAAGTAAGTTTGAATGTTGTCATAGATTCCCAAACTCCACAGAAATAATGTCATGTAGCACATGCAAAAATCGATATCACTACAAATGTATTTCGACATCTAAAACATGTTACAATGAATTAACTGAGAATTATAAGAGTACATGGCTATGTCCGATCTGCGCCAGACCAAAGAGCGACAACACGAATACGCAAATTAGAAGCTCACTAACTTACACGGCTTTAGTGGAATACACTAATCAAAGTTGCAACGTCACTCGTCGCGTATAGGACAACGAACGAAAAATGATGGGACCTAGTACGGCGGGACTAGATCTTGATGACGTTTGGTCCATAATCAGAGAAGAAATGAAATCGCTGCTAGATGTGTTTAAGAAAAGTATACTGGATGAATTTACCTCAAAAACTAACGAAGTTCTGGTTTCAATCAATTTTCTCGAAGAACAATACGAAAGTATTAAAAAGGACCTATCAGCTAAAAACGAAGTAATTAAGTCGCTACAACATGATAATAAAACTTTACAGACTACAATTGATGACCTAAAAGTTAGACTTACATTACTTGAAAACCAATCTAGAGCCAGTAACCTAGAAATTCAATGCATTCCCGAACATTGATCCGAAAATATTGTGTCGACAGTAAAACAACTGGCCGCAACAGTTAAATGTAACTTATCTGACACTTACATACAGAGCTGTAGCCGAATAATGAAGCTTAACAAGGAGAGCCCTCGAGCATGCTCCGTAATAGTCAAATTCAGTAGCCCAAGGATCCGAGATACGTTTCTTGCAGCAACAATAGCTTTTATTAAACAAGCAAAATGCAACGAGGACAAACTTAATACCAGCCACTTAGGAATTGGAGGTAAGAAATGTCCTATATATGTTGCTGAACACCTATCAGCAGCCACAAAAGCATTGCATGAAGAAGCACGTATCAAAGCTAAGGAACTTAAATACGAATTCGTCTGGATTAAGAACGGTCGCGTTTTTATGAGGAAAAGCAAATCATCGCACTATAAACTTATTAAAAATTCTGAATCTCTTTTAAATTTATCGTAGCTTACTGATAATAATCTTAAACATGTGTTGGTATACTAATTTTATTTTTAAATTCGATTCATTAAAATGTTGTTATCAAAATGTCCGAGGTCTTCGCTCTAACTTAATAGATGTAAATATCCAAGTTCTTAATTCAAACTATGATATAATTGTTTTAACTGAGACTTGGCTCAGCGATAGTGTGTATGATGCGCTATATAGTATGATGAGATGCTGAGATCTTCGACGATAGGTACCACATGTTTAGGCCTAATCTTAAACACATTAAAACTTGCATTCAAAACCGGTTTGACGGCTTGGGCCGGCCGGCGCTCGTTTTGCACGGGTGGCCACGCCTTGCCCAGTCTGGAAGATTGTCGCGCGATGGCCGGTCGCGTGCCTCTAATTGAGTTGTCTAATTTGTACGTTTCGTGACAAGAGGCTTGTATTAAGTTTTGAGTGATTAATTTTACTTCGATTGCCATTAATTTGCGTCGACGAGTTGCTTGTGTGGTATTAATATCATACGAAAGAGTTTTTGCTTTGTCGGATGGAATGCTAAAACTTTGTGACCCGAGAGTTAGGTCGCGTTCGTATTCTATTATAATTTTGTGCTAAGTGAACATGGGACATTGAACTTTGACCGACAGTTCTTAAGTTGAGCAGTGTGTCACTTGTTTTAAGTCCGATTAACGCTGATTCAGTTAAATTTGAAGGTAATTAAATGTACAATAAAGTTAATAAACTACTATAGTGAAATAGAAGCAGAAAGTCTAATTGGTGAACGACCTTGGAGTGATCGAAGTTGTGTAGCCGAGCAGCGCATGTGGGCTGCTGGCCGATTACATCGGTTAAGTCAGGTTACACTTACACACTACTAGATTTACACTTACATGCCACCCACTTGCCCCTGACGGCGCCTTGTGGTCGACCCTACCTCCGGAACTTGGTAAGTTCATGTTTGTTTGTCCAGCCAATGTAATAATTATCCATAGGCCATTGGGCTCGAACTCTCTGGTTGCTCATCGAGTGTATTACTGATGGGTCCTAATACAGTCGACTTCTGTCTGGGCAACTGAGAGCCGTAACACCACATATATATATACGAGAACGCGAAACATCTCCCCTTTCTTATCATAAGAAAATTTGTGGCGTAGTTTTGATAGCAGTTAAAAAGGACGCATTAAATTCGCGCAGGCAAATTAGATGGGAAAGTCTCAGTGAAGACCTTATGGGTCACAATTGATATTAACCCAAGTAATCTAACAGAATGGCTACATGTGTGCGCAGTATATATCCCTCCACCAGTTGATCGTAACGTTAATCGTATTATTAATAAAGGTTCCAGTGAACCTTTATTAATAATACTATGGATACCATTAATAATAATAATTTATGCACGGCTAACAACTCAATTTTGCTGCTTGGTGACTTCAATATGAGTTCTATCACGTGGGCACTTCAACCCGTCATTAGCGGTCAGTACGCATCCTCAACTCTAACCGTCTTCTTAAAAGTAGCTTAATAGATTTTTTCACTTTGCACGATCTGAATCAATATAACACTAACAAAAACGTAAGCGGAAAGATACTAGATCTAGTCTTGTCTAATGTAAACATCAATGTGGTTGAAAGTCAGTATCCTATACGCAACGTAGACATTTTACATCCCCCATTAGAATTTTTCTTTAAAATCAACTTATCAATTAATTTCCCCGCAACAAAGAATAAATCTTTCCACAATTTTCAAAGAGCAGATCTTGATTCCATTATAGCATTCTTAAACAATGTTGATTGGCTACAAGCTTTAGGCGTACTAAATAATGTAAATGAAATGATATCGAAATTCTACGAAATCCTGCAGGTAGCAATAGACAGATTCTACTCTAATTAAACTCATTGAACGGAAACACAAATGTCATAATAAAATTAAACTGTATAATAATCCATTAGATAAAATTGAATTCTCTTACTTAAGGAGGGATTGGGATAAACTAATAAAACAATGTTATTTTAATTATATTGAACACATCAAGGAAGCTATTAGCAATAATCGGAGCTATTTTTGGACACATATGAAGAACATGCGTCGTTAAGGCTCAAATTATCCTAATAAAATGTCTCTGAATGATCGTGATGCAAATAGTAGGCAAGAAATATGTGATTTGTTTGGTAGTCATTTCTCATGGGTTTTTATTAAGGATGATATTAATAAAAATTTTGACACACAACCAGTCTCCAAAACAAAAAATAATATATAGGCAATATTTACGTATCTAAACGAGAAATTGAGAAAAGGCTGAAAAGGTTAGATACATCAAAAAGTGCTGGTCCAGACGGTATTCCGCCTATATTTATATATAGGTGTGCAAATTCTTTGGCTGCTCCGTTAACTAGTATATTCAATACCTCCTTGAGCTCTGGCATTTTCCCCGAAAAGTGGAAAGAAGCGCGGATTGTACCAATTTTTAAAAGTGAAAATCTTACGAGTGTTAGTAATTATAGACCCATATCCATATTATCAACAATTTCAAAGGTCTTTGAGAGCTTAGCCTATGAATCATTTTTCAAGAATCTAGGACGACGTATAAACTGGCAGCAACATGGTTTTTTGTCTGGTAGATCTACTTATATATCACCGTACAAATCTGTTCTTATATGTCACCGATTTAATTGAGAACGTTGATAATAAACTACAAGTGGATGCTATATACACAGACTTCTCCAAGGCCTTTGACAAAGTAAATCACGCACTACTTGTCAATAAACTGAGAGCTTTTTGTATTAATGGGACATTATTAAACTGGTGTGCATCATACCTTTAAAGTAGATCTTCGACCGTGGTGATTGATGGGTACTCCTCGCAACCATATATTGCCTACTCCGGTGTACCGCAAGGCTCGAACTTAGGTCCAATATTTTTAACATCATTATAAATGACATTGCTTCGATATTTCAACACTCTAAGGTCTACCTATTTGCTGATGATCTCAAAATATTTAAAACTATTAGAAACAACTCTGACGTTGAATTACTACAAGATGGTCTCAACAGCCTTATTCAATGGTTTAATAACAACCAAATGTTTCTCAATGCCAAAAAATGTCAACTTATTAGGTTTACCAGAAAACGAAATTATATACAGAGTCAATACTATATTGATACTGAGAAACTAATTGCAGTTCGAGCGACACGTGATTTAGGCGTTATACTAGACAGCGAATTGAAATTTACCAACCATATCGATAACATAATCACTTCAGCTATTAAGTCACTGGGTTTTGTATTGAGGAATTCCAAAGAGTTTAGGCACCCCTCTACTACAATGAAACTTGACAGTAGTCTGGATAGAAGTAAATTAGAATACTGCAGTCAAATTTGGAATCCGCACTACAAAATCCATAGCATTACAATCGAAAGAATACAAAAGCAACTGCCGCGTCATCTTGCGTACCGTTCGAATAGCTATCAAACTAATGATTCCTACGAAAGACAGTTGGCACAATTTAACATCATATCACTACAATCGCGTAGAAGTATCTCAGACATGATGTTCTTATACAAAACGCTCAATAATAGTATTGATTGTCCAGCAATAGTTCAATTATTTAACTTTAAGGTGCCATCAAGAATGCCTAGAAATCCGCACGCCTTTTTCAATGTATCACTTTATAGATCTAACTTGGGAAGTATTCCCCTCTAGCCAGACTGGCTCGCACTTATAACGAACTGTCCTCGAAGATTTCTGGCCTCGATATTAATTACGATAGTTTATCCACCTTCAAATCAAAATTAATCAATTTCTATGAATTAACGAATTAATTAATTATTTATTATAACATTGGAATTGTTGTGTGATTTTTATTGTTTGATTAATATAATATAATATGACAATTAAGATATTTATAATATTGTCAAATAATTCCATTTCTTTTTAATAATTTGTATTTATTCAATGATGTAATTCAGTTTTTATTCCTTACAAAATAATCAATGCATGTTGTGATTACCCATAAAAAGAAATACAATTATAATGTGTTGAATTTGTTATGAAAATGATCTTTGTATTACTGTTGTAATTTCTGTTGGTAATCCTAATAAATAAATAAATAAATACATAAAGAACCTGAGAGCCTTTTTATTGAAAACGAGGCATTGCATCTTAGTTCTCAGGGGTGACAAGGCATCTGCAGTTTGATTCTAAATCGAGGGTGAATTAGATGTCTATGAGCCAACATCTACTTACCATAAGGTTGACTGTTTACTTATTTGTCACATGCATTCTATAAGAATGTCCATTACCCCATATAGTCCCGTGGTTGTCGTAAGAGGTGATAGAAGGTAATAAACCAGAAGGTGGGCAGCAGCGTCATCCCTCTATATTTTTTTTATTTAGTTAAAAACCTTGCCCTTGCACTAGGATGTTCCCCTGCATCGTCGAGGCAGTTCACATACATGAATTACACCAACAATTACACCCAGAACAATTATTCGTAGGTCATACAAACTCTCGTTCCGTGGCATATAATAACTCAAGAATTAAGCCAAGCGTACCAAGCGTGGTATAATAAGTTGAAAAAAAAATTGTGATTGCCTGACCGCCTGCCAATCATGTCATCTATGGCAAAAATTCCCTCTTAGCAGCGCCTATGGGGGAGGCCTATGTTCAGCAGTGGACTTTTGACAGTCTGGAGCGGTAACGGATATGTATGTTCGTGAGGGTAACCTTTCTTCCAGAGAATAAAAAGATTTGTAGGGGATCTCATACATTTCACACAAACATACAATCATACAACTCACACACACATACATTTACACTATAGATCCTTCCTATCAGTTAGTCGACGTTTCGTAGATTCGATCCCGCGCAGCATCGTAGATACAACACCATATACGGTAATATCGTAAGGCAGCGGTTGCGGGCCGGCGGTGTGAGAGCACCGCCCCCTAGATCAGTCGATCAGTCGCTTACGTGCTTCGACGTGGAGAGATTGTCGCATTATCTTGCTTTAGTAACTATTCACGTGTGCCTATCTTTGTTAATTTATTGTCTCATTTCAAGTTTCTCTCTATAACATTACTTCTTCCTTCTTGTTGAGAACTTGCGTTGCATTCTCCTTCTGTCTATTTATTTCGGTGTGACTTTATATTTGTGTGAATATTAAATCGTGAGTGCTAGTGAAGGACTACCATTTATTTGTACATCTCCTTCTGTCTACACACACCTAGCAGATAATACATCACCCTACTACAGATTGACATAATTTCTTTACCTTTCAGGGATAAAGAAACGTTCGTCCTAGCTGGATCTACTCAACGCAGTAAAGCCAAAAGTTACAACATTTGTGCACATTTCATTCACCCAAAATGGAATTCGAGTGATACTCACTCCCACGACTACGACTATCAACTCGTACTTTTAGAAACTCCAATACCAGTGACACGAAATTCTAGGCCCATAGCTATAGGAAGTCTGGATGACGTCAGACAAGGCAGCATGGCATCTATAAGTGGTTGGGGTCATTTGCAGTTTAAGGTAAACTATATTGTCGAGTATATATTACTATTTTACCCCATTTCTAGTTCCCGCTAGTTTTCTTTTTAAATCAAATTTTTAAATTTTTATTTAATTTTTTTCGAAATTAGAAGAGCAAAATGCAAGACCTGGTTCGAAGAGTAAAGGTTCCTGTAATGAATGACGAGGAGTGTAGAACATTGCCAAACGGTTATTTTAAGAACATCACACCAAGAATGTTTTGTGCCGGATACAGAGCTGGCAGCAAAGATTCTTGTCAGGTAAGGTTGTGTGAAAACAAGAATTATCCCTTCCAGGATTTCTATTGCGTATGTATCTAACGTAGATGCAAATAGTGGTTAGCTTTGTTAAGTGTTAACACGTCTCGCCTGTAATCCCCGAGGGAGTCGGCAGGGACCGAAGTGCAGTAAGCCACAAGGACCATGTTTAACCTAAAATATTGGTATATAATTAATAGACTTGGGACGTTAATTTACGAAAATCCATTATATTATTTAAGATGTCAAAAATTAATTAGCCAAGATTCGCATTACAAAGGAAAATTACCCAGCTTGGAGAGCACCTCCCGCCTTCCCTCAATTGCGTGCACAATCCCTATCACCACTAACCCCAACACCACACACTAGAAAAACACACCACCGTCGATAATACAATCAAAAAAGTTGTTTTCAATTATCAGTTAAATTGATTTATAATAATAAATACAATATAAAAAAAAATTAAAACTACTGTTGTGCGAATAAAATAGTTCAATTATTTCACTTTTATATTCAGTAAATTTATAATTTATTTGATGGACAACTTTTACCTGATGATTAAAAACCGGCCCTTAGTTGTGGAAGTGACATAGGGTAAAATATATATTTTAAATTCTATATTACATAATACCCTATGACACTTCTATGTCGTACATTTTTTTACGTGGTAGAGCATGCGGCTCGACCGGGGAAGGACCACGCTCTCACAGAAAACCAGCGTAAAATAGCAGCTCAACGCTGCTGTGTTTTGTATGGTGAGTGTAGAGAACCGGAGACCCTTTTAACTGGAAAAGAGGCATTCCATGTTAGTCCTCACGAGTGACAACGCATCTGCATCTTGAGTCTTTATTGAGGATAGATGTAGATGTCTATGGGTCACAGTAACCACTTACCATCAGGTGGACTGTGTGCTCGTTTGTCACCCTATCCTATAAAAAAAAAACATTCGCCCATTGTTTATTATTTAATTCTTTTATTTGTAATTAGTACAGCACATAACGTACATGCTTACTGCATGCTTATACAGTTTAGATAAGTACATTTAGTAAACTTCAAGTCTGGTAAGTTAGTTCTTCCACTAGTCATTTCTCAAAGCGATTATAGGTACTTTTGTTTTCAATAAATAAAATCATATTAGATACGTTTGTGATGCAAAGATTTTATCTGGGCGTTTGAGGTTATAATTTGATTATATTATATATATGATGCCGTTTTTAAAGGTTTTTTGAAGTCCATGCATTCTGAGTTCATAAGATTTATTACTTTTTCAGAATAACATTAAAATAAGTCATTTAGACTAATCGTTCAAGAAGTTCTCATTTGCCGAAAACCAAAAACGTATGAATATACAGTTTTACCCATGTTTGGACGATAAGTTATTCGTTAATTAGCTCAGTCCCAAAATATAATTGCACATTGTGTCAATAAGACTTTAGTAAAACTCATGGCGGCCAAATGGCTACAAAAAACCTGTTTTTTTATTTTATTAAATTTGTAAACCAAATTCTCGATTATTTTTACTTTCCGTCCCGATATTTGAACTACTGTACCTGGCAACACCAATATACATTTACAGCGAAAGGCACCAGCACTCGTTCATTGAAAAATCTGCAGGTGTAGTCAACGTCAAACTAAATATCACAGATGCTGGCAGTCATTTTATTTTTTAATGTAAAGATAAATGTTGCAATTTTTATAAATTAAAAGAAAATTTTGATTTTCAAATGAATACATTCTATATGTAACTATAATGTCATAATTTGTATTAAACTGTTACTAAAATTTACATGCGTTGTCATTTATTTATAAAGAAATATATGTTCCTGTTTCAACTGTTTTATCGATAGCCAGTTGATAATTTTTTCTTCGTTTTTTAAATCGATTTATCATTGTTCCATCTCTAGACACGCTGAACTGTACTTAAGTTGTCACCCGCACCATGCTATAACGCAAAGACTCTAGCTTTTGTTTGAAGTTATAAATCATGTATGTATTTCAGGGAGACTCTGGTGGTCCAGCAGTGATCAATGGCAAGCTTGTTGGACTGGTCTCTTTTGGAGTGGGCTGCGCGATGCCCGACACGCCAGGTGTCTACAGCAAAATTCCAGTTGTGCGGGACTGGATTAGAGCCGTCACAGCATTACCTCTTTGATTTATAGTTTTTTCATAACCTGTAAATACAATTTAGTTTATTTTACATCGCAACATTTTTGGTTAAAACTAAGGAAATTAAATTAAAATTATGTGCTATGATTGTAAACCACTGGAAAAAATTTACATAGTACATGTTGGCTTACACTGACATTTAGGTACACTTCTTTATAGAATAAGGATGACAAACGAGCACACAGTCCACCAGATAGTAAGAGAATACTGTGGTCCAAGATATCTACATCTATCCTCGATTAAGAATCAAAATTGTTAAGCGTTGTCACCCCTGAGGACTAAGATGGAATGCCTCGTTTCCAGTAAAAAGGTTATTCGCTTCTCTATACTCACCATACGAAACACAGCAGCATTAAGCTGCTATTGCACGCGGGTATTCTTTGGTAGTGTGGTCCTTTCCACATCGGGCCGACCCATTCGTGCTGCAACCACAATATAAATCTAACACGTAAAAATGATATCTTGTATTTTTTTAAGTTTAACTGCCACCGTTTTTTTTTTATCAAAAGTAGTGTCATAAGTATTGGTACACCGGGACAAGAACTGGTTTGTAGTGTTGTGTCCCCGCATCCCAGTCGTGATGATAGAAATAGAAAAAGAAACTTTTTTTATTCAATTAAGATTATAAATAATACATCTTGAAGGTCATTCTTTTGTTTGATTTATCACTGGTTCGGAAAAAACCTCTGTTCAGGGAACCTCTGGGAAGCACAAACAAGAAATCAAGGAGGACCTTTTCTGATAAAAAAAAAACACAAACAACACACATATTACACAATTAACAACACATAAAAAATTAAAAATAGCTTAGTAGCGATCATTTCATTCCCAGGGGTTACTATTCGTTTTTTTTTTAAAATGTTACCCCCACTCTAGGATTTTCTCCTGTGTCGTGGAGGCAGTTTACAAACATAAATTGCACAAGGACAAACATCCAGACCCGGAACAATTATTTGTAGGCCATACAAATACTTGTTCCGTGCGGGATTCGAACCCGCGGCCCCCAGTGCAACAACTGATTGCTAAGCCACTGCGCCACGGAGCCGTCAACTATCATCTATAAATACTTTAATATTGTAATAACACTTTGTACACACTTTATTTAATAAAGTTTTTGAACTGAGAGGAGGTCAAATTTTGTATAGTTTTTGGGATTTTGTGCCAAATCCTCCTTCAAACGGAGAAGGTCCATGACCAGTAGTTGACTTATACGGTCCAATAAAAAAGGAGAAATATCTAACAGAAAATTTATTCATTCCTTCATAACAGCCTATCAAAGTCCAATGCTGAACAAAGATCTCCCTATAGATTGCTATTAAAAAGGATAATGCCATTTTTTTTTTAAATAGGCATTCCATCTTAGCCTTCTGGGGTGACAAGGCATCTGTATTTTAATTCTTAATCGAAGATAAATATAGATGTCTATGGGCCACAGCATCCACTTACCACACAGGCAAGCAGTCGGTGACTGCAACAAATAGAACAAAATAGAATGGAATAAAACGTCATAGAATAAAATAGAGTATAATAGAATACAACAGAATAGAGTAGAATAGACTAGAATATAGTAGAATAAACTAGGATATAGGACAATAGAATATTTTTTATTCAATACAGATTGTTACATAAAACTTATTGAAATTTTTTTTTATTTACCGCTATTTCGGAAAACCTATGTCCTGGGAAGAACCAGCAAGAAACTCAGCTGGATTATTATTTTAGATGTAATATGTGATTTTATAAAAAAAAATTACCGATTACTTATATGAATTACCAGCGTCATCTACCAGGTCCAATTGTAAATCTAAACCATCCAAGGACTAACTTAAACACACACGAAAAAAATATTTTTGGTCGTTAGGTGGATATTCTTACATCGCCACTAGACGGTGACGATCTTCTGTTTCATTAAACCGTTAAAGTAAACAGCTGTATATGGACCTCAAGGCATTAAGTTAGACCTTTATATTCCTTTGTTTTAAGGAATGCAATAAAGAATAAATTAGTAAATAAATGATATAGGTAGGATGGTGGATATTTTTACACCGTCACTATAAAATATTCCTCAAATGAAGCAATCTATGGGGCAGGCCTATATTCAGCAGTGGACATTTTATAGGTTGTAAAGAATGAATGACTGTTTAAGAAATTTAAAAGGTAAAGCCTATCTAACAAATTTTAACATACACAAAAAATAAGATATTTAAATTTCATAGAGCACTAAATATTTTCAGCTTTCATGAACTAAATTCTTATTCAAAGTTTATGAGAGGTTTCTCTTATCTGCTTGTACAAGAGGAAACGTTTTCCCTCATATTTTACGAAGGCAATAAAATGAACTTTAGGTAATTTTATATGCTTAAAGGATCAAATGTCTACAAATTTATGGAACAAAATGTTATGTCTACATAATATAAAGGTTTTCACTATTTGCTATTTATTAATTTTAATTTTAACTACAGTTAAAATTTATTTTATGTCTGAGCAAAATGTAAATATGATTTTATTTGGTGTGTTGCTTATTTCTTTTATGGTTTTGTTTATGTGAGCAACAAGTAAAGTCTCTTTCTATTTTCCCTTCTTTTCACAGGGTCTTCTTGCAGTAGAGAATTTTAGAAGCGATAGCGTTGTTTGGACAATCAAAAAGTGCTTTGTAAAAGCAAATTTATTGAAGGAAAATATTTTGACTTTGACTTTCAAAATGATGTAGAATTTGAAGACTGCAGACGAAAATAATAAAAAATCTTGTAGAATCAACTAAAATAATTATAAAATAAAGGTTGTTCTATGCGTGTACACCAAGTACACGCATAGAACAATTATAGTAAATTTTTATCTTGTTGTTTAAGACTTAATGTAATATTAAAATGTACTTTATGAGAAAACTTTGAAAGAGAATCCACGATGTCATAAACTGGGCGGGTTCTAGTTACATTATGTGCAGATAATAGGAACTCCGGTCGGGCTTGATATATGTATATAATCGGTAAATTTCAATCTGAAAAGATAGTGCGGCGCTTTAGTATAAAGTTTATGAATATTGAGATTGTTCATTGAAACATAAAAATGATCGATTTTAGAGTAAACTTGATGTTCTAACGTCGCAAATACTACCTACCTACTACCTACGAACTATTAACGCACTAAATCCGGTAAAGATTACCCTCCAGTAAAGAGAAATATTAACTGAAAGAACCACCTAATGGTACGTAGACGCTGTGACCCATAGACATCTACATCTATCCTTGATTGAATCAAATGACAGATAGGTTGTCACCCCGAGGACTAAAATGGAATACCTCGTTTAAAGTTTAAACGTGGAGGTCCCCTTTTTACTGCATGCTTCTGAAATACACGTATGAACGTGTTCGTATCGGCAGGTCATACAATATCTCTGTGGGTCACAAAAAGAAAATAATGGGTGAAAATTAAGTCGAGCATAAATAATTTATTCGCTTCTTCTGTCAAGATATTCTTAGCAGCAGCTTGGAGTCCGGAAGTGAGTGGTGTTTCACCCATGTGCCTCAGAAAATACGTAAAGCCGTTATTCCTGCGCCTGATCTCTCTCCCGTCGTGTCAGATTACCGTCCCACCGAACTACGAGAGTGCATTATATATCGTGCACTATGCTCCTGTCCTGCGCATATGGCTCGTGTCTGAGACTGGACGCCGTAATCAGAGTTTGGTCTGGAGGACACGCTTTACCATCAAGTAATCTATGTAGGAATCCGAATAGGAGCGGCGCTTTGTCAACCCCATGAGTTCCCCTGTGGGAGCAGCGTCGACAAGTTTGGTCTCCACGGACTTTTATGTTAGAAAAGCGCTGGTAGGTTTTCACGACACAGTTCATCAGTGTCATCAGAAGGACTCTTGTCCCTATAACTGTTCCCTCGGTTTTAGAGCCTTGTGGAATATTTAGAGACGATGGCAGAAGACGCGACGGTATGATATTGGTCCCTTTGGAGAGAGGTAAAGCCCTAGTGTGAGATGCTACTTGCGTAGTCACTCTGGCGGCCACTCATCTCAGGGGTACCTCGTTTAGAGCCGGGGCGGCAGCAGAGGCAGCTGAACTGAGTAAGTGGCGCAAATATGAGTCTCTGAGAGATGACTACATATTTGTGCCATTTGCTGTAGAGACTATCAGTCCGTGGGGTCCACGTGCGGTGAAGTTCCTAAAGGAACTCCATCCGCGGCTGACCGTTGCTGCTGGTGATAAGAGGGCTGGTTATTTTCTCGCTCAAAGGCTAAGTATGGCCATTCAGCGGGGAAACGCAGCCAGCGTTCTTGGCACGATACCGCGGGGAGTAGGACAATATGATAATTAAGTTAGTAGTTTTAGTTTTTTTTTTATTATTATAGTCATTAAAATACAACAAGACATACATTGATACGAGTATGCAATAAGAATAACTTTGATGCTGCTTTCCATCGCCGGGTATTTTACGCCTGGCATAAACGAGATAGATAAGTTATCATCTATCGGAAGCTATAAGAACTCTTCTTAACAAATATTTATTAAATTACTATTACTCCTTATTTTAAAAAAGAAAGAGAGAAAGATTTATCTATTTGATCTATTTATCTATTACAGTTTATAAAAGTCCTTTGCCGAACATAGGCCACGACCATAGATTGCCTTATAGGGAAGATTTTACCATAGTTACCACATTTAGTGGGCGGGTTGGCAACTGCAGTTTTTTTTTAAATACTTTGAGTTGTTATCCAGAAGATGCTGCTACGCACTTCCTGTTTTAGTTTCCCTCTGCGCTTTTTACAACACACACGGGAATATATTGGGTAGTGGATATTCTTACATCGCCACTACACGGTTATTTGATACACACATTTAAAAGCAAAAAATATACAAGTGTAATGATTAGAAATATGCACGCATCAGTCTTAGACCGCTTGTGCACTAAAGAAAAGGAGTGCATACAAGCGTAATTAATTAAAAATAAAATTAAAATGCGACATAGGACACCAACT